CAATATGTAATGCCTGACTACATGCTCCAAACTAATGGTGGGGGCAGCTTTTAACATCCAAGTTGACTAGTGCAAGCTCTCGCAGCTTTTTCAGTCTTATAAATGAACAAAACAAACTCACAAAATGTAAAGGAAGAAATATTATTACACATATTTTCCTTATTAAACAGAAAAATACAACTGTAGACCTTCAGAATTCAAGTTTCTGTCTTTCACTGAAAGAAGACTCGCTTAATTGTCTCGTTAACTCAGGGTGAAACACATTTCATTCCAACATGTTCTCACACGCAACTCATCAAATACTCAGTGGCCCTATACGTCAAATTATGAAGTTCTGGGTACCCTCCTGCATCAGTTTCAGATGCTTAAGGATGGTATTCAAATTTACACTTGTCACATGCATTGTGGCTTTAAAAATAAACTTCCATTTTCACATTTACAGTTTCCACTCATTAAATCTTTTCCAAATGAATTTAGAATAAACAGAAAACAGCTTCATTTTTAGGTTTACCTCCTTAGCTTAAGGCAACAAGTGCATGGGGTTAGGTTTAAAGAAAACCCTCGTGGTTTGGCTTAAAATAAATGGAGGAAAACTGCAAGCTAGTTCAGGCAGTCAGCCTGAGCTGCACTGATTCATACACACACGTCATACGTCACTCCCCATATGTCATCTACAAAACACACCCTCCCAATATGGCAGTCTATTTAGGCTGCAAAATTTTCCCTACTCTATCTTTACCTTGTCTATGCTGCTGCTGCTGCTGCCCTGCAACAGTCCTGCTGCTCGCTTTTTCAGCCCCACCTCTACCCCAGCATCCACCTGCAGACTCCAGCTAACGGGGGTAAATATTTAATCATCACTCCCCAATACTCCCGAATATCTCATGTAAACATACAGTATGTGCAGTGAGCGATGATGCCGGAGTCTAGATGCCAAACGCTGTAAACTATATACTGCTGTTTAAATAAACATTTAAACGTGAGTTGTCTGATTGAAATACGTTTGTTACTAACGTAATGTAACATCAGGTGACATACATCACTACCTCAGTATGCTTAGCATACTAGCACACTACATTGATATTAACTGGTTGACTTTTGGTTTCATATGCAGACGCAACTAGCAGGTGAAAGTCCGGAGTTTGTTTGACACATCCGCCTCCTCTCCCTCCCACTCGATGTGGACTTCTTCACTCCTACTACAGTAGGTGCTCAGAGAATCAAAAAATGCCACTGTGCAGTGCATCTCATACTGCCACCAAAGGGTGCCTTGATGTGTTTGTATCTAATGCCAAGGGCCACTGACTAAGCGTCGGTATTTCATGAGTTGGCAGTCAAAAAGGATTGTTTATTCAAACTCACAAAAACAAATAATACTCACCAAAACTGTGTTTCCACTGTTCCAACAATCCACAGCTCTGGTTGGTTGAAGTAAAACCTTCATTCATTGAGTTAGATGAGACAATATTCTATTTCTATATGCTGTTTCTCCACTGCAGTCTCTCACTGCCCACAGCGGCAGCAGCTCTCGCTCGTTCTTTGAAGGCAGAAAATTATTCATTTTCCGTAACCACTTATCCTGTTAGGGGTAACGGGGGGGCTGGAGCCTATCCCAGCTGATATTAGGCGAAAGGCGGGGTACACCCTGGACAGATCGCCAGACTATCACAGGGCTGACACATAGAGACAGACAACCATTCACACTCACATTCACACTTACAGACAATTTAGAGTCACCAATTAACCTGCATGTCTTTGGACTGTGGGATAATGCTGACCACTGCACCATCATGCCTCCCAGTGCAAAATAAAATGTCAAAAATCACCCCAAAAAAAAAAAACAACCAATGATTTACACAGCCAGTTGCTGATAGCTGATATATTCATCCAATCATCCAATGGACACACCTTCGGGGCAACTCTACTTCTCTGTCCTTTCACATGTTGGACTGAGGCAGACTGGACGCTACGATGACTCAGTATTGGCTCTCGAGGTACAAGTGGCATTACAACACAGGATTTCAGTGGATAGTTCTGCAAGAAAATACAAAGACATCCTTGACATGACATCAAAACTGATACTTCTTCACATTCTGTTGATAATCTTAGTTCATTTTTTGAATGTTTTAAATCCTTTAAAGAGAGGTTAAAATTAATGTTGCAAAAAAACCTCAAAACCAATGCTTCATCACTCATCTGATGCCACAGAAGAGCTCTCTCTGACTTTATTTCTTATCACTGGAGATCTTGTGTCTACACTGATAAATCTAGAGTCTGAAAAAAAAAACGTTTGAAAGAAACACTTCACAATTATTCATTCAAATGTTGGCTCTCTGAAAGTCCCCAATTCTCCAAATAAACATAATATTTCAATGAGTGAAATGGAGGCATTTTTCTCAAATAAAGATGTTAACTTAGAAGTCATTGTGATTATCACGATTAGTGGCTCTATTAAGATTCCAAAAACCAACTCCTGCCTCCATTACACAAGGGAAGATGCATAATTCAAAACCATCTTGAGGAACAGACTGCAGATCTACAGTATGATGAATAACAAGGAGTCAGCTGCTCTCCTGCTCACTTTATCATTGAGAGAAATCAGTGTAGGAGCTGAACCCGCGGTCAGAACTGCCACCAGCGACAAACAGGCTTTCCTTTATAATGTGCTGATGAAGACTGACTGTTTGGTGTGTATTGACCTCGCTGCAGTGATGAGATGTTGGCCGTTGCCAGGCTGTGAGATGCATCTGAGGCAGCTGTGTTTTCACTCAGCAGTTGTCACCATGAATTCTGCTCAGCATCAGTCAAATATTATTCCTGCTTGCATATATTAATAGGGTAGATAGAGTATGATCTTAATTTTGTCTCAATAATGCAGAAGGCCTGAAGGTTATATGTAATTGTTACACACAAGGGCGTAGGTTTTATTCATCATTGAAGGGGACATATTTGAAACGGGGAGTTTTGGGGTATTCCACATGAAAATTCTGAGCATCAAATACTTAATTTCCAGAGCTGGCTACCAATGTTGTTACTCATTGATATTTAGTTGAATTTAGGTTGTGACATCAGGTGTATATAATTCAGTGTCACATCATCTAATGCCAATGACACATGGCAGATGATGTTTCGTCCAACATCCAATCCAAAGTCTTCCAGACATCTCAAACAGCAACCTCAAGGGCTGAAAAATGAAGCCAAAGCAGAAGTACCCAAACCTACAGTTCTACAAATGGCCTCTTGAGGCTGGCTCCAGAAGCAAATCAATCCCCATGGACCCCAGCTCGTCAAATACTGCCCCTTCGTCAGTGGACAAACCCCTCCTGTGTCTGTTTCTGTTACATGGATTGTGTCTTTTCAAAATACACCTCTATTTTTACAGGAAATGTAGTTTCTGCTTGTTACATGCATAAAGGCTTTTTCAAAATAAACTTACAGTGTAGGTGAAACACTTCGTTTTTTGGATAGTTTCAGGTGTATGCAACAAAAGCAGGTGGTAAGGTTAAGCAAAACATAATGGTTTGGCTTAAAATTCACATGTAAACCAAACAGTGGGTTCCTGGGTGAAAATCCCGAGTGTGTTTGACCCATGTGTCTCCCCTTCCCTTGGTTGCTGCCCATTGCATTTAAAATTGACGCACTGTATATCATACTGCCTCAAAAGATGCCTCTCTGTGTCAGTTTCTGACAGCAAGATCACTGACAAAGTGGCAGTATTTGATGAGTTAGGAGGGGGAACAGGCTGTCACAACAGTCTATGTGTCGGACCCACCCCTCACTTCTCCACAGCTCCACCCTCTCGTCCACATATGGTCACTTCTGGCTCCAGAAAACCAAGATGGTGAAGGTCAAAGTGCTGAGCTTGAGGCTTCAGAACAGGAGTCCACAAACCAATGGGTGATTTCTCGGTAGCTATGGACATTATTTTATACAATCTATGGTATCATGCCAACATCAACTTGATGTAGAGTAACAAAATTTAGTCATAAGGTTTGGAGAATAAAACCCAACCTCTGCTAAAGATCATAATGTTAACATCCACTCAACGTGAAATTCTAATGTCGTAAGACACAGTCCAACATTTTTTTGACGACATATTGCAGGCTGTTCGGACGTTTTCCAATGTAAAGTAATGCACCAAAATTCATACATATCCCATGTAATGATGAGCCAGTAATTTGAATAAAGAAGGAAGTGGTCCCAGTTAAGGGGTAGGTTTGCATGGTACACAGGACTTTCCCCAGGAGATTGATGTTTGGAACTGTGTGAACTTTGAGTCATTTTAAGGTACGTTCTCAACACGTTTCTTTACCTAAACCTAACCACAGTAGCTTTACTTACCCAAACCTGACCTCTGTAACTTTACGTTAATTATTTAATTCTATGTTAAGGACTTAACATCATTTGTGGGGCGTTAATTCGTAAGATATCATTCAAAATGTTGTGTGTACATTTTCATAGGATATCGTACCATTGAATTGCTGTATGTGGATGTGTTTGTACCGGTGCCAGCTGGGTCCTGCATTCTGGCAAATTTTTAAGCAAATTGATGCTTTGTCTGTATCAATTTATGGTGGGAATATCTTTTATTTTGCTAAAATAAAAGTCATCTGCTACTTTCATGTTTTATTGGGAGGGGCAACTGTCTAAATATTGAGGGGAACGTGTCCCCTGCATCCCCCCAAAAAATCTACACCTATGAATACACAAGTTGTGTTGCCTCATGTGAGGCTGTGACATGAGGATATGGGGGGTTTAGCTGATGGTCAGACTGTCATTGTAAGCTCATGGGTAAATTTGAATTAAATTCACAGACACCGGATCAACCTTTGAGGTTTATGTAGGAATCGGATTATGGTCACATATAAAGTGCACCCCCCTTCTCTCTCTCTGTCTCCCTCGCTCGCTCTCTCTGACACCCCCCACCCTCCCTCTCCCACCCACACCACCACCCTCTGTTTCCCCCTCTTTGAATGGGGGCGCTGGAGCCGTCTGCCTGTCACCGCTTGCCTCTTTGTTCAAACAGATCTTGCTTCTCTCCCTCAGCGTTGCTGCTGGCGAGGAGGGGGACGGACGGAGGCAGCACCTTGCTGTGTGTGTGTGTGTGTGAATGTGTGTGTGCATCCATTCCGATCTATCAATGTGCGAGGATGAACGGCGCATAGTGCTGCTGCTCAGCGAGGAGAGGATAGCGTTGGAGAGGGAGTGAAAAGTCCAAGACGTGGAGCGCTTGTGCACACACTCACCCCGGTCGCTTCTGTCTCTGCAAAGTGCTGTTTCACCCTTGTTTCGTCGTTTTGCCGTCTCTGCACCCTGTGGGGGCTTTGGAGAGCACCTGCACTGAGGCGCAAAGCTCACATTCCTGAGGATTGCACCACTGAAACACGTCTGGTTTTTGTCAGGAAAAAAAAGGTAAGAGTGAAAAGCACGGGAATGATTTGCTTCGCATGCACGCTTTATGAAATCAATCATTTGGTCAGTGTGTGATATCTCAAGTCACCGGGTCGCAGGAGGCGCCTGAGACCGCTCAGCTGCTGGAAGAGGATTTAAAGTGGTTTCATTGCTTGGATAGAATATAAAAACGCACTTTCACAAACACAGCTTGAAAATTATGGAAATTGTAGAGTTCCCTTCACATCGCCCATCCATGCATTAATTCTATGCATATGCAATAACTACTTCCTGTGGACCAATCAGCGCCTCTCCTCTGGCACGATCACAGACGCACACAAATCGCACCCGTTTGGGATATCTTTAATTATTTACAGGTCAAAGCTTTTAATATTGGTCTATATTTACGAGCCATGTAGAGGCATGCATAAATCATCAACTCACCAAGTAACCTTGTTAGCGTGCCCTTTACACGATTTCCTCTCAGGAGATGTCTTCATAGGAACTTTGGTTTACATGCACGTATACATCTTTTAAATCTTCCTGCCTAAAGAAATCAAAGGGGGAGGATGCCTTCTGCTGAGTGATGCAATTGTGGAAGCAGATCTGAACACTTGAACAGGTGTTTGCCAAACGTATTATGTAAATCAGAGTCCATTGGTGAACAAACAACATGTGTTGAACAACTGCCAAATTCACATCTTATATTGGTCCACCTCCAGAGCTGACACCCAGGCGTGACATCAAAGATTGTGTTATGTATAGAAACTGGATTATCAGTGATCACACAGTGTTTTATCTTTGCACTAAAGTCTTTTTTGCCTTGTAAACTAACTCTGCTGTGGTCCTGAAAAAAGAAAATGGCACCAAAGGCGACCAAATAATGCAAAAATGAGTGATTGCCTGCTGCCAAGCAGGTGAATGGATCCCTGGAAGTCTTGTATTTATGACTGCCTGCTCTGTAAACAAGCGCTGGCATGTACAAATCACAGTGAAGGAGGAGAACAGTTTGGGTCACCTTGACAAATGAGCTGTATTGTCTGAGAATATGAGAGCCCCTGCAGCCCAATAAAGCCCATTCTGTTTCTATTCACCGGCTCCAAGTCTTTTCTTCTTTGGCCTTGTTAGAGCGTCCACCACCAGCTGTGTGTCAGTGCCACAAAGCAGGATGTGGTTAACCAGGAAACGCCACGCTATAGACAAGCCCGAGCTGAGGAGATGTATGTGTGCGAGAGATAACGGAGAAGTAGTGCCTGTGGGATGAGAAGAGAAGAGGAGAATAGTGAGGAATGAGGCTAAGAGACCCAGCTGAAAGTTTACAGCATGCATTTTTCATTCTGTCCGGATGTGTGCAAGTGTGTAGCCTGTTTGAAAGGGCATCCATGAGCCCCGGCACGCATACAGTAGAGTTGTGTGTATGTAGATGACTGCACTCACACGAGCAGAGGGATCAGAGAGCGGTGTTGAGGGGAAATAAAAGGTTTGACTAAAATAGACGAGCTCAGTTCGGCTGCCTTGCTGTCTGTTGCTGCACACTTTGCACTCAATCAGCCTCAGTGTTGTTTATCATGTCTGGGCTCTGAGACGTCTGCAATTCCAGGAGTCACTTTGCTTCGGTGGAAGATGGAAAAAAGAGTAATGTATGAAGCTTTCAGGTGGATGAAATACTGTAGAAGTGGAATGATGAGACGATTTATCGATAAGGTGATCGACAGAGAAAGAACTGGGACTTTTTGAAGTCATTCAGCATCAATTTCTGGTGGAAACGCCAAAATAAAAGCCCTGTGCTACTCTCATGTTTTTCTTTGGGGGGGGGGGGGGGGGGGGGGCTGGGGCAAATATTCATGTTCTAAATGTTGAGGGGGACATGTCCCTTGTGTCCCACCTGAAATCTATGCCTATATTTGATAGCAAACAGATGGTTTTGGGAGGTTTGCTTCATCAAATTAAGTAATGTGATGAGGTTTCTCATAATTTTTTAGGATTCATTTCAACACTGGGGCAGAGGGATACATGAAAATGGGGGTTTGAGGTCCTACCCCGGGAAATTCTGGGGGTCAAACACTTTATTTCTCGCATTCTGGTGAATTTTTATGCATCAATTTATGGAGAAAATGTTATTTTGTCAAAATAAAAGCCCTTGCTACGGTCATGTTTTTATTGGGGGGGGACAAACACACTTTCCAAATACTGAGGGGTACATGTCCCCTGTGTTCCCCTCGAAAACTACCCCTTTTTTGATAGCAAACTGATTATGTTTTGGATTTGCTTGAACAAATCCAGCAATTTGATAATGTTTTTCCACAATTTTCTTGCGTTGTATTCACCAAACCAGACAAATGAGCAGCAGCAACTGCTTTGATGTCAATAATTTCAGTTATTTTTCAAGCAAAAAAGGCAAACATTTGCTGGTAGCTGCAAATATGATGATTTGCTGCTTTTTTTAATCACTGAAAATTGAATGGCTTTGTGCTTTGGACTGTTGGTCCAACAAGATTTTTCACAATTTTCTGACATTTTATAGACTTCGACTGAGAAAATCATCTGCAGAATAACTGGTAATGAAAATAACACTAAAGTAGTGTAATTTTTCAGAAAAAAAGAAATAAAGGAGTTTATCCCTGCTGGTTTTAAGTGGGCTGTTTTGTCACAAATCTTGCCGGGGGTGTATTTTCAGTAGAAGCTAAAGGTAAATCACAGTCAGGGTTTGATATTATTCTCTATGGTATGTAAGTGCCCACTCTAATATGTCACTTGGGTGATTGTGGGGTCTGTTCCCCTCTAATACAGTGCTAATAGCTAACAGAATAGTGCTATAAAAATGCAAATCAGCAGCAGCGCTCGTTCATAGTGACGATCAAAATAAGCTTCATCTCTGAGTCAGCCACAGGCTTGTTGGTTGTGCTGTCCTGAAAATGTGTTGACTGTGTTTGGCTCAGAATGGGTTGTACAATGCAGCAAATGTATGAGACTTCTTTGTTGCAGCAGTAATTCAGGAACAGCAGATCCGACCAGACTGTGAACTAAAGTGGGGATTTTATGCTCTCTTTGAACTTTGTGGTGCGTTTACAGGCAGGAGGGGAATAGACTTTAGACTAACAATGACTTCACAGCGACTAGAGCTAAAACTGTCCACCTTTTCAGCACTGGACAGCTCCCAAATCTCAGAGTCCAACAGTCTGACCAAAAACATTTGTGAAATAGAAAAAGAGCAGTGAGTAGTTGTGTTTTGAGCTGCGGGATGGAATAACGTCTCCCTCTCTCCCTGGAAAATTGAAATCCAAGTGAGTCCCCAGCCGCCAAAACCCAAAAGGGATTGGACAAACCAATCCATCAATCAACTCTAGTCTTTAGCCTGGGAGGGACTTAAGCAGCCCACCAGGCCAATCGTTACAAGCGTAGATGAGACCACAGCTGAACGGCTCACCCACACAAAGAGAAAGGTCCCTCTCTTTGTCTTTGGCCAGAGGCTCTCCTCTAAGGTAATGACTGGTGGAAGACAAATGTTTGGCTTTGCAGCACGTCTCTGAGGCAGCACCAAAGTTTTATCCGCCTCTGCAACAGAGATTAGAATGATTAGTCACTTTCAAAGAGGTAGTTAAGAGTCATCGCAGTTACTTTTTGATATATTTTTTCCTAATGTCACACTGTTTGAAAGACTCAGCGCTTCTTTCTTGTTATTGTTACACGCTGATGTGAGGAGGAGGAGATAGCTTCTGGCGCTGGAGATAAATACCTGAAGGACAGAGCTCTGTGTTTTTCATCTTTCCTCACCTTGTTGATATTCCACAGCTCATCGTTAAAGATGAGGAATCTTTGCATGAAGTCCCTCCACCACGTCCGTGTTTGTGTCTATGATTCATTTCACTTCCGACCACCTTTCCCTGTGGATGAAAATGTGGTTGGTATCCTGGTTATGGAAGCCTTTATGATCCAGTGTGTGGAGCCATTTACTAATATACTCAAGATGATGGCTGCGTCTCATGCACCTGATCCTTTATTGACTTTGTTACCGAGAGCTAACCTCAGAACCTTCACCTTTGACCTCTGGTGCTTCCCAGACACAGCTGGTGTAGAGGTTACTTAAACAGTCCCTACCTACATATATTTGATCTTTGACCCTAAAATCATTATCCCCGTCAATATTGCTATTTACTTAAACAAACATCTACATAACGGTCACAGGGTTCATCATAAAGAGCCTTAATTTCAAATTTGACTTATGATTAAAACAGCATTTGATCACTGTCCAGTAAATACTGTCAAGCATCAACCAAATTTAACAACAGCCTCCCAGACGCAGGTGCAGCATGCAACGTGGGTTTGTTTTGCTATTCCCTTGTTTACAGAGTGGGCGTGCAGCAGGCAAACCCAGTGATGCTAATGGTCGCCTGTCCTCATCTACAGTGACACAGACACTCAAGCCAGCATTTTAAAGACAGGCTATCTTTAACTTTAACTCTTTACATGGTTTTCATGTGTTGACGCACGTTATTGGCTGTGTTATTATTTTAATATTTATGCAAACAAAACATGCATAGTGCTGCTAATTTGTGGTTTTTATTTGAAACTTGGTGAAATGAGTTCACATTTTAACAATACCGTGCTGATACAGATAACCATGACTGAGCCAAGCCTTCTTTGAGAATCTTCCAAATTAGCTATATTTCTCTAACCTCTGGAAGATAAGCAATGAACTGCTGTGGACACCATGTTAGTTCAGATCCAAAAGTCACACAATAACACAAACTAATTGGTTGAGGCAGCAGCAGACCAGCAACTCCCTCATTCTGCCTTGTAATATTACTGTTTTTGTCAAAGGAGTGGCTTTGAAGAGAGCAATTGACCCCATCCCTTCGCGATTGTCCGACAAGCTGTCGGAGTAAGCATGGAGCCCACACTGTAACTAACTGCACTCCCTGAAGAAATACTATCATATTTTGAAAAATGAAAGAGTGATTCCAGAGAGAAGCAGACAGAGGGGTCTACAGTCTGTGTTTGAAGGATATATCCAGGATGTC